AACCTTTTTCCTCTCAAGGGCCATTTCAATTTTTTCAACATCCTCCGAGGGCCGTACAAATGATTGACCTCTGCTTAAAAATACTAAAATCACAGCCCATTCATTTCACCTTTCTTTCATGCTGTGCAAAGAAAAAGCAACCTCTTAGTCCAGATATCTTACCATGACTCGTGTATGCATTCACGCGCACGGTTGTGGCATGACCACCAACACAGAAAGATATGGACACAAGATGTGTGCAAATGTATTTAGTTTCCTATCCATGTGAACATGATTTAAGTGGGGGGGGGGGACCTAACATCCTCTAGGGGGGGTCCGGGGGGCACGCTCCCCCGGGAAGATATTTTTTAAATGTTGAAGTTAAAAGCATCAATCTGGTGCACTTTGAGAGTAACATTAAGAGATCTATGGATACATCTCTCAACACCCATATGAAACAGAACTGGAAGCAGATTTTATTTTTCTTTATGGATATTTTACAAATCACTCTCCTTTCAAACTGTATTCTTGTTTTTTTACTGTCATATAGTATTTTATACCTGTTTACTTTATTCTCTTATTTTTTTATAACTATAATGATCATATAAAGATGTGCCTTTACCTCACTGGTTGCAGAAAAAGCTTCTTATATTCGTTAGCATAGCTAGCTAACCAGATGCTAATAACAACAAAGTTATTGACTGTATGATCAGTATGACAGATGAACAGATCGCCACTGGGCTTTCAACTAAAGACACAGCCACGCAAAAACTGCGGCATGTGTACGGCTCCTTATGGGTACTGCAGTTTCTGAAGTGCCGGAGCGGCGTTCTGGTGCTCTCCGTCAGAACTGCACCCCTGTCAGACGAGACATATACCACGTGATGACACGTTAGGCTCGTGTTGTGTTCAAGGACCCTGACCTTGGCCAGGAAAAACAGGCACTCGCTTGTTTAATTCTTTGCGGTCTAGATTTCTTTAATTTCTTTCTTTTTTGCGTGTGTTTATAAATTACCTTGAGGGCCGTACCAAATGGTCTTGCGGGCCGTATACGGCCCGGAGGCCGGAGGTTCCCCACCCCTGCTCTAGTGCATTGAGGGTGGGGGGAATTTGAATAGGCTAATAACCTTTTCTTTTTGAGGAAAGCCCATTTTAGACTAACTTGAGATCATTCGTATATGTCCTAAAACAGACTGGAGAAGACTATAATTTCAAAATGTTTTCTTGTCCACAATCTAGCTGAAATATGCAGGCTAATGAGGCACCACTTAAATTCTACTGAACTGTCATCGCATTGATCAAGATATCAGAGCTCATGCTTGAGATTCTAGAAAGAAAAGGCGAGAAAACGCTGGAGGGAAATTCTAGTCGAAGGCAAACTCTCAAGGACTGTCCTTAAAGTAAGTTAAGTTTCTTCTCGAGGGCCCTCGCTGTAACTCCAGACTTTGGGGCAAAGTTAGCTGAGCTGCAGTTTTTGAGAATGAAAGGAAAGGAAAAACCGAAACCCAACTCCACGAGGGTCTGCCTGTCTGCTATTGTGGATATTTTTATCTGCCGCACGTCTAAGGCAGACACACAGAGGGAAATACGAACCAGCCAACCCAAGCTGACAGTGAGGAGTCAGACTGTCAAGAGGTCTGCTCCCCCCCCCCCCCCTCCCCACCTCCACCCCCATGCTACAACACCCAAATGGATTGTCATATCAGATTTAGGTGTATAGGTTATTACACCCTTGGGCTCCTGTTTCCAACACACCCGTCTGCATGGCGGGATTGAGTTTGAGGACTCTCTCTTCTGGTTCTCTTTCCTTGGTTCTCCAAGTTCTTGATTTCTTTGATAAGATGAAAGACAAGGCAACTTCTGTGATAAAGTGGTAATATTTGGAAGATGTGACCCGTTGTAGCCCCTCCTTCATCATTGCACAATCATGGGTTTGCAGTTGCATCACAAGTCCTCCTTGGCATCGATAGGTCTGTTTAGGAACATCTAATTAGGTTGATTAATACCCCAAAAGAGTGACTGCAACACAGACAAATATGTTGTCTTTGGGCCTCTCCTGCAGAAGAAATAAATACAGTACTTCCCTTTGAGAAGTTAGTTTATGGTTTATACAGATGCATCCATTCAATGTCTGAACATCGGACAAAGTTCGCCCTGTTGACTGCCTGCCTGATGACATCAACTATGGCAGGAGCTGATCTCAATATGTGCTCTTATATAAACAGTCTATGGTTATGTTGCATCAATGTAGCACTGACTCAAACCCCAGTATGTAGTATATGCAGATTGGGGGATGAAGTCACACTTTATGTTTCTAATTGGTTTTATATTTACATTTAAACACATTTCATTTATGTCTCACGCAAAGACTTTCTTTAATAAAGAATTATTTAATTATTAGCAAAAAAACACAAAACATTAGTATTGGTTTTGGACAAATTGTTATTTTGAACCTTCACAATATGTGCATCCCTAAAATGTTACCCCTTGCGTGCTTCTTAAGTCAATTTCCTTTTTTTTAAGGAAACCAATTCATGACTTTGCTTTTGCTCCCATACTTAACATTTCCCTTTAGACTTTATTCAGTGCAAACATTTGATTTTAAAGTTGACTAATTTCTCTTACGATGTCAGCAAAGGGCTGGCGGCTTTACTACTTGTTTGTATGCATTTAGATTAACATTATACAAATATGATTAGTTGTATTGTTATCAGTTGATTTACTTTGTTTCTATCTAAGGAATGTTGCTGATAAAGTACTGTAATCACACACAGCTCCTTTACTTAACGGTGATACTATATACTTATACTTCAGCTACAATACTTCTGACGGTCGGTCCACATGGTGGCGTGCGTTGAAGCTTCAAAGCTTCTGCCCATTCACTTTGAATGGGGTGACGTCACACTTTGCCGAACTGCATTGTGGGAGCGTCGCTTCGCTTTGCTCGCATTGCTCGCTTCAAAAGTTGAGCAATGTTCAACTTTTGAAGCTCTGACGGAAGCGTCAGCCAATCAAATCATATGCCAGTACAAGCTCTAGCCAATCAAACCGCGTGCTTGTGTGTCCGGGGCGGGAGATTCATGTGATTGGTTGTTGGTCGAGCTTCAGACACGCCCACCGGCAAGCTTCAACACACGCCGCCGTGTGGACGCTGCGTTATAGTCACAACATATCAGAGGGAAATATTGAACTTTTTTTTCTTTCTCACCATTTATCCAGCAGCTGTACTTACGCAACGTCTACACAGCAGCGTTAAAAAAATCTTGGAGGTGGGCGTATCTGAAGCTTGAGGATTTTTTGCGATCAACCAATCACATGAATCTCCCGCCCGCGACATACGAAGCAAAAAAGCCCGAAGTAAACTGGATATAAACTCCCCAAAACAGGCGAAAACCTACCACCGTCTCTGCCACCTCCCTCCATGCCTGGCTCCTCCGGTTTATATCCCGGTAGGTCTGGTCATAAAGCACCGGGTGATTGATTCGCTACCGCTAATTTCTCCTCCATTTTTTGGAATATGAGGAAATGATCTGCGGTATGTCACTCCCAGCATACACGCCGTTTGATTGGCTAGAGCTTGAACTGTCAGATTTGCGTACACAGGATTTGATTGGCTGACGCTTCCACCTCAGCCTCAAAAGTTGAACATTGTTCAACTTTGAATCCTCAAAATCCTCAAAATCTCCGCTCGCCTGCCCACAATCCATTTCGGCGAAAAGTGAGGGAAAGTGACGTCACCCCATTCAAAGTGAATGGGCAGAAGCGTTTCAAGATTTTTTTAACGCTGCTGTGTAGACGTTCTGTTACTACGTTTAGATTGAAAAACATTATACAAATTATACGAACTCTTAAAAAAAAGAGAAAATATTAGAGTTAAGAACTACTAAAGTAGCCAACTGTGTGTGAAACTAGCTACCCTTTCTAACCAATACAACAGTGACATGGTTTCTGATCAGTGTAATCATGTCCTGTATTACAGTATATAGGAAAATAAATGAAAATAAAACGTGAGAACATTCAATCGGGATCAAAACAGCATTTTGTGTATTCCCAATAACAGAAAGAATGGATAGCAAATGTTTTTCAATCCCTTGACTGTTATGTAGTTATAAAATCTATTCAAGTGTAGCTTGAGTTTGTCAAATCAATTAAGGGATTCACCAGTCTAGTGAGAGTTGACAAGCCAAAGATCAGCAAACAATATTCTTTCAAACTACAAAGAAGGATGATAAGAGGAAAATCATCTTTTATAATAATAATAATAATAATAATAATACGTTTTTATCCTCAATCCCAGTTTAGAATCTGTCTAAGGGGGCTGTTACGAAATGATGACGTTTGTGGTGAAAATTCAGTTTGTGTGTGATATGATGCACGTATTTGTTTATGAGCTGTTGTCACACAAATATTACTAATAGTTTAGCATCTGATGGCTGTCAATAAAGGCAGCAACCACTGACAATGGCTGTTGCTTGACTTAACAAAATAGATGTATTGATTACAAACAATTGTTGTTTACCCATAAGTCTGCAGTGATGAAAGAGGATACTAGTATGGATCTGTAGGTGATGTCATGTGTTTGTACAGTAATGTAATTCCACAATGATGAGTGCTGCCAAATGTATTTGTTTTTTTAATAAAACAGTAGTTAATCAACGATTCGAGTGTAATCATCTGTGCAAAACTCTCATAAGAGAAACATATGATTACTTAAGAGGCACACAATTAGAGTGAGCTCCATAATGAAACACTGGACTTGTATTTCTCTTTAATTTAGAGGAAAGGTAGTCATTTCATCAAAACTGAGTGCCGATTGGTGGATTATATTCATGCCGAAAAATAGTCATTTAAACAGTTTTTACTATAGATGTTCATTTTATTTATTTTAAGCTTTGCTGAAAGACAGAGTCGTGTTATTTTGGCAGATCATTGATAGAAGTTAGGTTAGGCGTTTACTCCATGGAAGAAATAAGCCCTGAGTCGGAGCTTAAAGGAAACCCAGATCATGTGTGTAGTGTTACCTTGCAGTGTGGAGTAAAGGGTGTTGAGTCCCGACCAGTCTCTTCACCTGTATGGCCACATTACTGAGTTCATCACTGAGCAGGCAGCGGAGGCTCATGAAGGAAGTTGGATATCCGACGATCTTCTCTGCGTCTGCGACCGCTTTGCTCCAGTTGGAGGGTGCCGAGCTGGAGAACAGACTCAGAGTTCTCCGTCCTCGGCTGGACAGAGCCATGCGGGACAGTCGTGACCATGTAGCAGGAAACATTTTCTCTCTTACTCTAATGTACTTGGTAGTAAGACAGTTGCATAAAGTGCAATTTAGTTACCTTCCACCATCTTTAAGTTGTATAGCCTGACTCGTCCTCTAACGTAGTGGCATGCTCTTAAACAGCACCGTGTTAGTATTATGAATTAAAACGTATAATTTGCTGTTCTGACTGATAAAACAGACTGTTACTGTGTCAATAACTAGCTGTGCTTCATAACACACGACCTGTCACTGTAGGCTGCCATCTTTGAACGCGTAATACGTTACGTCGCTGTCCAACGTAATGACGTTTGTTGCTAAATTCCTATATGGAGAGAGCACTTCCTGCCAGCTCCGTAAGAGAATGAGACACTTTTATATTCATTAGTTTTTTGTCAAAGTTACACTCTGAAAGAACGTGACATGAAGCCATTTTTAAGGTATGTCCACGTGCCTTTTCCTCAAGTATTAAATGTACAAAGTGTCACTTTTGTTTGGTGAAATGTAACATTTTACAGTTGGTTCACAGTTCACACCTGTTTTCTGTCCACCGAACTATGTCATTTACGAAATACAAAGCGCGCCATTTCTTCTTCTTTGCCAAAAATGTAATCAACAACCTCAACAATGTGAAATTAACATGGGTTATGACTATGACCAAATGTATTACCATTTTTGAAATGTTGTCCATATTGGTGAATCACCCACACAAGAGTTTTTAGTTTTAGTACTGAAGGCTACTTTGAAGTACAATTATGAGGTACTTAGTACTAGTACTTTAGTATTTCAATTGTTCTACTACTTTATTCTTCAACTCGACATTTATCAATATATTCAACTTTTGACTCTACTACATTTATCTGACATCTTTATAGTTACTGTGTAGATACATATGTATTGCTATCTGCTCAAAATATGTATTATTATTGATTAAGATAAACTTTATTGATCCCTTGGTGAAATTCACAAGCTACCCAACAGCATATATATATATAAAGAAAAAAGCCACTCCTCCTTGGCTTTACCAGCTTCAACATTAAAGTAATGAACCCATAAATGCATCAATAATAGTCAACAATAATATGTATTATTCTAAAATGGGCTGAATGCGGTTTCCTTTTCTTTTTGTAGACTATTTTACCATACATTTTAATGTTAATACTTTTTATAGTTTTGCTCTTATTTATTTTTAAGCAGCAATCAAGCTAAGTTTTTTTTTAAACTGTGGCATTGCTACTTCCAACAATCTGAGTACTTTTTCGACCTCTGGTTTTAACCTGTAACTGAGTTCATATCACTTAATTCTGTGTAACATTCAAAAATATTTAATTGATGCCTATATATATTTTTGTTGATTTGTCATAAAAACAAAACAGTGACACCCCAGAGATGAACTGAAGTAAAGATACAAACCCATCATATTTTGGGGCCGGCAGAAAGATTACTTGTATTTTTCTAAACTTAAGAAAGATAAGGCTCAATAATCTAAGATTAGCTAAATGTAAACTGATTGAAAAAAGTTAACATAAACTTAACACAAAACTGTGTTTGGTAGATGATTTCTATGTTGTAACAATGCTTTTTGCCAATAAATCTTATACCGTTGGAAAGCCTGTTCTCTTACCATTCCAATGGTACCACATTTGTGAGGAACACGCATTTGTGGGATGAGCAGCAGAGCAGAGTATGTGGGGTGCGCCCATGGAAAATGTGACAAATATCCTCTGCCAATGCCAAACAGCAGCCACTCTCCGGTCTCGTACGCCCGCCAGGAGCCGGCCATGACTGCCCTTCACCATCAGGCCCACTTGCACTGGAACCTCAACAAGTGGAGGAACATTATGTTCAGCGATGAGTCCAGATTCTGCCTACGGCACATGGATCATAGGGTCACAGTGTGGAGAAGACGCAGAGAACGCTTTGCTGATTGCTGCACCGATAGAGTAGGAGTGGAGAGGATGGCCTGCCTGCAGTCCTGACCTCAACCCCATTGAACCCCATTTTGGGTCAGCTTGGCCCTGCTGTCCGTGCAGAGTGACCAACACAACCACGCTGGCTGACCTGGGACAAATGCTGGTTGAAGAATGGGATGCCATCCCACAGCAGAGTGTGAGCAGGCTGGTGACAGCATGAGGAGGAGAGGCTGTTGTGGCTGTGTTTGGTTCTTCCACACGCTACTGAGGCTGCTTGTTAAATGAATCAATTGTTAATAAATCAATTGTTGGCTTTCCAACAGTATAAGATTTATTGCCAAAAAGCATTGTTACAACATAGAAATAATCTACCAAACACAAATTGCCTTACTTTTTGTGTTAAGTGTATCTGTCCAAGATGGGGATAGAGTATAAGAGTTCAGTTCAAGCCGTAGCCTCGACAGTCTTACACAACACCTATGTCAGTAATCGGATGCCCATCTGTTTTCCATTTGCTGTGGATGTTTTTGTTTGTTGCATGAGGGCAGAACGGATCTGTGATCTGATCATGCATTAACGTTTGACCATTAGAGAACATCACTTACTGTTAAAGAGACCCCTTAATGTAATGTCATGGATTCATTCCGTTATCTTCTTCTTCTTCTTGACAGATTAACAGACAGTTCTGCCTTACACTGTAATCTTCATTTATTTGACACGGAAACATCACTGACATATTGTGTGCATGTTTCATATTAAGTCCAATTACTGAAAATCAAAGAAATACTTTTACACCAATGCGGAAACACTTTTGGATAGAATCTGAAGTCCTGTCCTGTTATGTTTATATTGTGGCCAGTGACAGAAACCAAACCACAAATTGGATCTTATGTAACTCCAATGCGGAGATTTAAAATGATATGAATTCCAGATGAAAATAAATTAAGCTAAGCCAAAGTGTTTGATTGTTTTGGGGGAAAAAATCCCACTCATGTTTCAGTTCATGTAATACAATATAACAGTTCCACGATTTGATGGAGTAGTGCCCCAGCAGCGTTAGGTTTAACAATGCTTTCATTGAAACCGCTTCCCTCTGCTTATTAATAAACTGGAAAGAAAGTCTGTCAAGGACAACTTGCTGAAAAGACTCACAAAAAAAACACACATACAGTATATTAATGCATTAAACGCTAAAAGAAAACTGAATATGAACAAGTTAGAAATCCATCCTGATTTAGAGCCAAATAACATGCTACACCCATTTAGGTATAGCAACACATTGCAGCAAATTCGACACACATATTGAGTGTTGTGGTGCAGGTGAGCTGCTGGTTTGCAAGGCATGACAGGAGCAGCCCTGTAGGCCACCACACAAGTCATCTCCCCCTGACCCTGCACCACGGTTCACTGAGCTCTGTTTCCGCCGATTTTCCAGCTCAAATGGGTGTCACAATGCCATGAGCAGCATCCCCCCGGCACTGTGTTTTTTCACCTGCCGGAGGACAGCATGTACAGTAGCACACACATGAAACAGGTTTATTTATTCCCTATAGATTGTTTTATTATGGATCTTGCAACTGTTTTATATACCAATAATGACCCTATGAGTGGCCCTAGCTGAGAAAACCCACTGTAAACCATCATGTTGTAAAACTGTCACATTATGGTCAAACACATAATGCCTGTGCAGTGTTTCCCACAGAATTGTATTCTATTTGTTCAAATATTATATATATATATTTACAAATAGTCTTGCAACCTTCCGATCATCAGCCCACCTCACTATCCATTAGACCACCAAAATTGAAATTAAAAAAAAAAAAATAATAATTTAAAAATATTTTTTCTTTTTTTACGAGATCCATTTGTGGCGGACGATAATATTGTGGCGACCTGCCACAAATAAATCAATGTATGGGAAACACTGCTATGTGAGTAATTACGTGTGGACATATATGACCGTTCATTTATATGCGACCATGTACTGTATGCTATGTGTTGGGAAGGTTACTTTTGAAAAACAAATGGTTACAGAGAACATATAACCTTTTTAATTACTTTATCAAAGTAATGTAACTTATTATATCTCTTCTGAGGGTTTTTTTAACAATGTTTTAAACAGGACAATAAAGCTTAAAAGTCTTTAAAATATATACCTAAACCTGGCAGTGTAAACCTCATAACAGTGCTCAACACTGATTTAGTCAATTTCTTATTAAAGTTATTCAATATGAACTGGATTAGGATTGTAAAAGAAAAACAGAATTAATGTTATATTCAACATATACTGTTACATTAATGGGAAATACGACATTCACATGTAACCTCTTTGTAATCACCAACATTTTGATTAATAACTTACATTTAGTACGCTTTTGACTGTTACTGCCTAACACTGTTTTTGAGTATCTTTGACACAGCAGCTATTAGACTTGTTTTAGCAGGAAACACACAGGTGGAACTCATTTTGTGAACAAGGGCTCTGCATTAACATAATCAATCACACCTGTGCTTTCTGAAGTGTCTGCGGTGAGAAGTGTTATAGCGTGCATTGGTTGATTGGAGGTTTTTCCATGGAAGAGATATGTGGAAACCTGGATCAACAAAACATTTGTAGACGCACTGTAAGTATCTATATTACATACATACATATTTTTTGGGATAAGGGTTTTTAAAAAGAAATGTGACTTTCATGGTACCATCTTGTATTTCTTCAGCTATCGGTCTTACTTGATATTTCGGGGTTCTGGTATAAACCGTTGGACTTGAGGGAGCAGTTCTTTGGAAATGTGTTGCAAATTACAAAACCACTTCAAGGCTGAAAATGTGATGTCTTGGGTTTAAATCTGACCAACAGTATGCGAGACCTTTGTTACAAACTCAAATGTTCTAGTCCCTTAAAAGTCTGATAACTGAACCTTGAGATTCCTGCAAATACTTTAGACACCTAGAAAAACGTGTGCAATGCATGTTGTTGCCTGAGGGAACGACCTAATGCAGAAGAAGAGACACTCTGAGGCTAAATGGCAACTTTTAATATTTGATGCATGATGGTCAAATGTTCCCTTTGTTCCTATGAGAGAGTGTTTAACCTTTTACCTCACTATGATGAAGGATTTGTTTTTAGACTGCAGTTTTATTCTAATTGGACATACACAATATTTTGTGCAATGTCTGCCATCATCAAGCACTGCTCTAGATGCTCCTGATTTTCCCCCAAAACATTTATTTCTTACAAACAACGCTTGGCTTTTAATCCCTGCAAAATTCACTGACCTACTGATGTTTAAAGGTATACTTTTACGATGCCCCAAAACATTTACATTAGAAGTAACGTTAGTATGAGTTAGTCTGTTTCATAATTGTGTTTTCTCAATATATTAGAAATGGCTAGGTTAGCTATGTTAGCTCGCTAACTCACAGCACATCTGCAATAATATAGGAAGGACTTATGCGATCACATTGTTAAAATAAGCCAGTAAAACTTACATTTTAGGTAATGTTTTCCGGTGACTGTGACAGTTAGCCCAATTCATTATCCCCGGATATCAACAAGAGTTCCGGTCGCTGTGAGCATCCCTTTTTAGTGTCCACTTTTCCATTGTATATTGAGCTTCTTGCTGCAAATACTTTACCCTCAAAATTATCAGTTCATCTTAATCAATTACTGTGCTCACTTGAAATCTTCAATAAATATATTCTCCCTTTAATGAAGGAAGAACCCCAAAACGAGAGCAAATTCTTCAATGAATTCAGATGGGGGCCACTATAAATGTTAGTGATACTATCCATTAACAAACTCTCACACTGGGCTGAATCGTCCTTTATCCAGTCAACTGCATTTTCAGTAAAACCTTAACTCGCAGAATTTGGACGGTTCAGAAATATTTCAAAGACTAAGAATTTAGTAAAAGCACATGTGTTTGGAAAGCACTGAGCATACAACTGGATAAATGATATTTGGATTATGTCAGAGTTTGAAAACAGATTACAGATTTTATATAAATGTGTCTATGTTAAACGCAGCCCTCCATTATTTTCATTACACAAGAAATGTCTTTTTTTTTAAATTCTTAAATCACTGTGGAGACACGAGAGAAAATTAAAGTTTGATAAAAAAATCAAGGTAGAACCAGGTGAGAAGCTGATTACAAATGACCATTTTGGAGGTGAAGTATCAAGGTTCTGCACAGTTCCTTTGGTTAGAACTCATGCTCTGGAACTTCCAATTTGAGTTTGTGTCTAAACCTGTAAAGAAACTAATAAAAACACCAGATTGTATTTTAACCAACAGCAGTGGGTTGTTAGCCTCCCCTGAAGAACAATATGGGACTGCAGAGTGTGTGGGCACCTGTTTGCTGCTTACAGCCCCCCACCATAGGCAGCAGCGTTAAGTGGATGTGACTGCTCTGATTGCAGTCCATGGGAAAGCGAGAAGAAATAGCCCCCCTCTGATCACCAACGCGTCATATAATGTTTCAGCGCACGCCCCTCCCCCTGTCTCGTTTTTTCCCCTCACTCAACCTCTCCTTTGACTCACAGAGGCGGCTCACCACTGGCGCACGGACCGTTGAGGATACGGGCAGAAGATGGCTGACTTAGCCGGGCACCTCAAGCCCTCGGCGGCATCACCAGCAGCGTCACGCGGGCCGCTGAAAAGCTGCAAGACATCCGCCGTCTGGAGACTGTAAACAGCTGCCTCTCTTCTCTCACCCCCCTCCTCACCCCCCCTCCTCAACCGCAAATATTGACAGAAGTATCTCAGAGGGAACATGGCAGAGATGGAAAAAGAGGGCAGACCTCCGGAAAATAAAAGAAGCCGAAAGCCAGCGCACCCGGTGAAAAGGGAAATAAATGAGGAGATGAAGGTAAACAGGCTCTGTGCACACTTGCATGTGATTACGCGTGGAGTGCTTGCTCCTCTGTGGAAATACACTCAAGTGCAATAGGCTGCATGATAGTGAAACTTTGATTTATGATTTTTTTTTTTCATACCCAAGTTCTATTGTGACGCTGAATGGCAGCATGAGCAGCGGCAGTATTTACCGCCTCGCACAATGGATGCGGCACCCATTCAGCGCTCCTGTAGTAAGTTTTGAATCAATGAGGAATACAGTGTGTCGCCCTCATGTCATCATGTATCCGTTTGTGTTGCCCTGCCTGCCTTTCATGGAGTTAATGGAAAATCCAGTGCGTCAGTGAAGGCGTCAACAGTGCCTCTACTATTACTATTAATACTGTTACACTACGGCGCAAAGGAGAGCAGACCAATGTGCATAATTAGGATACATCAATGGGGGGGCACGCTCGCATTTCCACGATGCGTGTGTGTTTTTGTTTATGCGTGTGTGTGTGTGTGGCCAGAGGCGTAGTGATCCAGATGTGCGTCTGTGAGCTTTACGCACTCGAAATGAGCACATTGTCTCCAGTGTTCGGCCTATCCCCAATATTCACCTTGTTTCTTTTTTTCTTTTTCTTTTTGGTGCATATTGTGATTTTTGAGCTCTGAGCTGTGCGGTTCATTGTGGAGAAAGAAAGTGCTCAATGTGTGTGTGTGTGTGTGTGAGAGAGAGAGGAAGGATGTGTGTCCGCTTTGTCTTCATCTCCTCATTGTTTGTACACATTTGGCCAGAGACACATTTGCTCTCTTACGGGTGGACCTGCAGGTGATCACGTTGGGGAGAATTATTGTGGAAATTATGGTTTTTAGGCTGTCAGAGAGAGGCGCGAGGGTGCTGGCTCTGAGCGAGTCCTGAAACAACCCTGTGATAAAGAAGCCTTTTTTTTTTGCATTTAGACCTCTTCAAAATACCATGCGCGTTCACGTGCCACCACTTACTGTAAAACACATTTTATTTTTTTTGATGACAATAGATGCTTTGTTGGTGGTTAACAGAGAAACAAGGGATCATGCAGTAACATTCTAAGATGATTTGAATCTTTTTGTTGTTGCAGTGTGATCTACTGATTTTGAGGTATTTAATGTGAGTGTTCCACTTATATGCATTCTGACTTGCCAATACAAAAAGGGAGTTTCTTCCAATAACGGCACAAACTGGACATTTTTCCTGATAACTAAAAAAAAAAGGCCACGATCCTCAGTTTTAGAGGAAATCCTGTGATGTCTGCTCCTGATGACAGGAGGCGGGGATGCAGGGTGGTGGTGGTGGTGGGTGGGTGGGAGGGGAATGGAGTCGGTCAGGGTCTCTCAATGGAGACATTTCCTTATTTCGTATCAGGGAGCACTTGTGGTATCCTCAGTGGAGCCGAGTCTTTATGAGCATCATTTAAACACATCTGTCTGTCCACGTTTTTATTTGCTCATTCTTTTCAGAGCTAAATATTACCATAAATCTATTTGGACTGTGAAAATCTATTAAAATGTCTCCTGTTGTAATTTATCAGATAGACCGAGTAATTATGGGATGTCAGTCAGATCTGATGTTGTATTTGCGGGTTTATGATAGATGCTGTGTGACGTGGGTCATCATTCAGGGTTCAATGAATTGACAGATTTCGCAATATGTTTTTAACGTGTCAGTTAAACATTTAATTTGATGAAAGCAGCCTAATATGTCATTTTTATTTGTAAGCACAATGCAGTGACTGTTATCAGTCATGGCTGTGAGATGGGATATGAATATACACCTAGGGACGGGACGATCTAGGATATTATAATAGATTATGATCAAATTGAATTTAAATCTGGATATTTGTGAATATCCTCACATGAGGGACTTTAAAAAGCTTTGTAGTAGCTGTTATCATAAAACATTTGAAAAAAATACAGCCTGTTTTTTCAGTGCAGGAATAACAAGTAAAAAAGACTCATACAATATTGCTATTTTTACATTTATATTTTTGTCGTTAATTTATTTTCTTTAAAAAGATGTGATGCAAAAATATATTTCTTTTAACATTTTTAAAGTTCCTGTGGTTACAATATGCAAAATTGAGAAGTTTTGAGCATATTTTATACAGTATATTATCAGAATAACGTTCCGAATCTCAAATATTTTGACCGAATAATCTTGACATTGCATTTTCACATTCTCACTTACTCAGATATCTCTGACCAAATGAAATAGCAGTAGCTTGTGGATTTTCCCATAGATATGTCAGTAAAAAACACCGTTTTATTGTTGGGCTATAGGAAAAAACACCTCTCCCACAACAAGTCCTTTATCTCCGTCAATACCGTGGAGAAGCGACTGAATGAAGGAGCAGATGTGGTTAAGGTGTCAAAACACTTTCAAAGGCTAAACAAGTTTGATTGTAGCTCATTACGCAACCTTGAATATCATCTCCTATTGCACACACACACACACACACACACACACACACACACACACACATATAAGCGGCTGTCTACAGATTTAATTTAGGAAAACAGCGATCCACTGATAGATGAAAAACAGCTGCAGCTTCCCTTTCAATACCTTCATTGTTAGTGTGACATTACGGGAGTTAATAAGTTGTCGAACAAATATAATTGTATCTGATCTGATTAAGGTCATTGGTTGGAAGCATTAGAAATTAGCGTGTTAACCTGAACGCAGCATTACAAGCGGCACCTTATTAACAGTATGTGCCATAATAATAGCCAAATAAGTTAAACGTATCGATTTCTTGCAGAAAAGTCTTCGATTCTGCTCTATCAAGTGTTCAGAACAAAAGGACCCAGTTTTCCTCTCTCATCCTCAATATTTCAGACCAAAACACACAGACAGACACACAATGTGCCCTTGTGAGGGATCATACAGTCCGACAGTGTTTCCTTCATCTGGCTGCTTAATGTGTGCCACGGTAAAATAAGCTCCGGTGAGTAATCAAGGACACGGAGGAGTGGGCATGGAGGGGATATGAGAGGGCTGCAGAGAGTGGGCTAAGAAACAGTGGAGAAAGGAATGTATACAGCGCAGGGCTGGCTTAGCTGTAAAAACGGTAACCTGAGTGTCTCGGCCAGATCAGATATCAAGGAAAGTAGAAGGGAATGAAAGCAGAGGAGAGAGGGAGAGGCAGGAGAGGAGTGGAAAAGTGGAGGAGGAGGCAAAGGGGAAACTTGGCATGTGGATTCGGGAATTTTATCACGGTGTACAGTGACCTGCTCTGGTTTCTGGCCACAAGGTATCCAGTTCCCACCATCATCATTACCACAAGCCCTGCTGGCCACCACTGGGTCTTACTGGAGGGAAACTGAGGGGAAGACTGTGGAGAATTTAAATGTATTTTTATCAGTGTCCACTGCTGAATATATGGCAGAGAAGTATCAGCTCGTGAATCTGTTGTGAAAGTATCATCGTCCTACACAGGCTCTGTTAAACCACCATCTTGTCTTTAACGAGGACAAAGTGGGTGTTTTTCTGCTGATGGTTTCGTCTTGTTAAAAGTTTGTATAAATGCTACAAAATATTGTCATATTAGAGGTCAAACCCTCAGTGCACAAATGCTTTAGCAGAGCGATTTCAAAGCTGATGGCACAAACGGTCCTAATTGAGCACAATCATCTTAAAATATCACCCTGTGAGTATATAGAGTGCTGCAGGGATCACATACACAAAGCCAATTCTTCCATTATAGTTTGAATTATAGCAGAAAATAAGCTTTGTGGCCAACACATGTTTATCTACACGTCTTGTTGAACAAGATACTCTCAGTCTCCACATATTTACAACACTTTATCATTTTTTAAGTAGAAGTAAGAACCTAATGTTAGGCTATAAATGAACGACATCACAGTTGAAATGCTGAGCATCACCTCCGCTAAGCTGAAGACGGACTTGTGTTCACTCCAATGACGTTTAGTGGTTTCTTTTTTAGTAAACCTAGAAGCTTCTGACATTCAACAGCGCGGTGTTTACTGACGTATTTTATGTTGTAGAACAAAAAACAACAATCTCTTAAGCATGTGTCAACAACAGACCTAACCAAAATCCATTCAAAAAATCCCAGACTTTGATTGAGCGAACCAGAAGAAACTAAATGTAAACATTTCCAGGTTTTAGGACTCATACCTGCACCACTCTACTGAGAGGCTAATATATGGTATGCTGCCTTCCAACAGTATGACAAGTAGGCTTCTCTTAGAATAATATATTCATTTAGAAGAAATAATATGGACATATTTCAAGTATATTCTCTATATTTACAGCAAGAGTAGGATATTTCTTCTTTCAGAAGTTACACAGGGCGCTTTAAACACAGCATTTCATTATGTCAAGTAGGGATGTCCCGATCACCTTTTTTTGCTCCCGATCCGATTCCGATCATTTGATTTTGACAATCTGCCGATACCGATTTTTCCCGATCCGATCTATATGCAATGCATTAAGAGAAAAAAAAGGTAACAGATAACGGCTGGTCATCCAACGCGATGAATTCAGCTATCTTGGCTGTTCTTTTTTTGGCCTTTTCACTGTTCTGGGGCAGTTTCTCTTTCCTTTTAAAAGTCTCTGAAAGTGTCGGTTGTTTCAGTGCCGTTACCTGAGTGGCCGCTGTGTACTCGTTGTGTTGTTGTTGGTGTTTGTTTCTCAGGTGGCGTATTAGATTGGTCATGTTGAACGTAGCTCTGTTCTTTCCACCACGCGGAACCTCCGCCTTGCAAACATTGCATCTGGCTGTTACACTGCCTTCGCTTTCAATTTTATAATACTTCCAAACTCCTGACATTTTCTCTGTCCCGACTCCCGAGTCACCAGCTGAACGTAGCCTCTTGTTAGCTTACTGCTACTATTAGACACTGCGCCCACTCTGTTGCCAGATTTGAGAGAAAAAAGCAACCAGGTCTATGAAAACAAGCCCAAAAGAAGCAACACATACATGTGTAATTTTAAACCAAAACTAAGGCCTCAGGATGACTTTAAGACGT